AGGCCAAATTTCACCAACCGGCGTGATTTCGTCCCTCGATTCCAGCGAGGAATACTTTGTTTCCATTGCTTATATTTCGTCTGTGACTTGAAAATTGGATAGCACTTCCATTGGTTATACCAGGTAAGGTGGCTAGCACTATGCCAATCTCTTGAACCTGGTTCTACCACAACCCAGAAGCTCTCATTTCTTCCTCGCACAATCTCCTCCATGTCACTCTCGTCTTGACGCCCAACTAGTCGTTTCCCACCTAGCTTCCACTCGAGTGCCTCGCCTGGCACGTAACTTCCCCGAATGGCATTCTCAGTGCATGCCCAATCCAATCCATCTCCACTTCCTTCTGCATATTTGTTGAGTGATAGGTTCTTGCTTCGTTGGTTCGTCACCAGCCAGAGTTCCTTGTTGCTGATTCTCATTATTCTGGCCATCTGAGCTTCAATAAGGAGCCGGCGTAGGCAGTTGTTGATGAATATCTGTAGTTTGTTGGAAATGCCTTTCGTAACGCATCGAGTCTCTGAAACATCACATAGAAGCACTAAATTGACGTTGGTGTTGAGAATGCAGATCTCGTTCACGCTTTATGCTGAGTGCAGAAGATCTCCACACTGGTTTCAGATTAATGAACGCCTGTCTTGCTGTCTTTCCGATCCTGGCTGGCTTTGATGTCCTCATCCGTGCCTGTGCCACCTGTCGTTGAAACGATGCTGCCTAGATAGGTGAAAGAGGCTACTTCCTTTCAGTTTCTCCCGTTGATGGTGATTGGAGCTTGTTGTTGTTGATGGTGGCGTTGGTTGGGTGTCTTTATCACCTCCGTCTTCTTCACGTTCACTTGAACTCCCGTCTTTGCTGCTCTGCCCTATCTCTTCTATCAACTTGTTAGTTTTCGCCTGTAGATCTGAGAGTTTGTGTGACATTAGAAATAAGTTATCAGCGAAATCTAAATCTTCTAGGATCTTTTCTCCGGTTCAGTGTATCCCCCTCTTCTCGCTCCTCACTGTTTGCCGCATGATCCAGTCGACCACAATCATGAAGATCATGGATGATAGTAGACAGCCTTGTCTTACTCCTGTCCCCTGTCTTCACTTCGAAGGCATCACTGAGCTTCCCACTGTTAATTACTTGGCATGTGACGTCTTCATATAGTTGTTGAATGAGATTGATAGAGGTTTGCGGTATTCTGTAGTGTTGAAGCATCTGGCTGCCAAATTACTTCTGGGTCTACACTGTCGAAGGCCTTCTCAAAGTCGATGAAGTTCAGGTAGAGAGCTGACTGCCATTCTATGCTCTCTTCTATGATGGTGCGTAGCGCTGCGTTGCAATTTGATCCCTACATGATTTGTACTTCCTGAATCCAGCCAGTCTGTTCCGGTCATAGTTTTAAATCCAGAGCATCCTTTAGTCTCTCCAGGATGATGCGGCCTAACATTTTGCTTGAGGTGGACAGGAACAGGAGCATGATTCCTCACGAGTTCTTGCAAACACTTGGGTCGATCTTCTTCGGGATTTTGACGAGGTAGCCGTTCTTCCAATCGACAGGCAGGTACCTTTCCTTCCTTCCTTCTAGACCTTTTGCAATAGTGGTGCGAGCATGTCCGCTGTTGTCTCTGCGTCTGCTCTCAGTGTTTCTGGCGGGATTCCATCTGGTCCTGCTGCTTTCCTGAATTTCATTAGCTTAATGAAATTCAGGACTTTGACTTTCGTCGTTGGGCTTGTGTTCACTTGTAGTTCTGTGGCTGGGCTGCTGGTGGTATTTCTGGACGAAGCGCAGGTGGTGGTCGATTCAAGAGCTTTTCGAAGTGGTCGGCACATCGTTTTTTTTTTGTTTCTCTTCTTTGGCATTTAGATTTCCTTCGTCATCTTGTTTGATTTCATCGGTGTTGATATCTTCCTAGGTAGAAAGTAGCCTGGTTATTTGCTACGATGTTTTATGTTCTCTCCTTCCCTCAGTCTGTTCTGCTTCACTTGCGAGTGTGTCATAGAAGTGTCTTTTGTCTTTCCGCGCACTCTGCTTCGCTTCTTTGTCCAGTGTTTTATACATTGTACTCAGTTCCTCTTCTCGTTGTGCGTCCTAGCACTGGTTTATCTTCTGCTTCACCATCCTTGTTTGCTCTATATAGTGGGTAATATTATATTGTTTACTTTGTGATAGATTATTGAGGAAAAATTATTGTTCATAGGCATATAAATGTAATCACACGATTTTGAACATCTGATTTTTATAGTCCAGTCACCTGATTTTCTTTGTTTTGTTTGGTGGTAAAACTTTCCATATCTTTGGTGAGGGTATCACATCATTCCTATTACCTGTGTTTGGTGTTGATTCTATGAACAAAGATTCAGCAATCAACCTTTCTCTGCATCCTATTACATTGAACTTGGGAACAGTGGTTTTATTCCTTTACATTTTGTGGTTGTATGTTATTGCCTACAATGCAATAGCCAAATTATTTTCTAGATTATTGATCTTGTTGAGGTCTACCATTCTTCATTTGGTTAGATTCCCATGTTCTGCTAATCTAAATGACCCCTATCGGTTAGTTTGTTCTATGACTTGACCTCACATTCATTGCATGGAATTTGATAGATTAGATTACTTTACCCATGTAGGTCTATTGGCTCTTTAAGCCGACAAAACTTATCTCTGAGTGAGTTTATGAGTTCAAATGCTACCTTAATCTTAGCCTTGTTGAGAATCCCAAATAAAGTTTCTGATGTTCCTTCATTATATGGTAGCATAATAGAGGCTTTGAACCTATTTCTACTCTTCTTGTCACTATTATTTGTATAATTATTACCGTTATCATTTTGTTTCTCATGTGTTACTACAAATTTCTTCATAAGTATCTGTTTACTTGTTCCCAGAAATATTTTACCATAGGAATGTGGAAATTCTTTGAGATGACTTAATACTATCCTCCTAAACAAACATAATGATAAGCTTTTTAGTTTTACCATAAGTATTCAGTAGCTTTAAAAAATGTTTTGGTAGGCGAAAAGGAATATTTTCTATGCTTCACCACTTCTAGCGGCCGACTTAAGCATTGGGCTATAAAAAGTTTTTCATCGAATATATATTTTATCAAATTCTACCCTTTCAATATTTTTAATCGTCTAATTAAGTCTTTTAAATGTTTCATGGAGTCTCTCAAGTTTTTAGAATGTTTTTAAACTGTAGTTTTTCAAGCTATCATCAAAACAATGGTAAAAGGTTACGCCAGTAAGAAATGAACGTATAAATACACGAAAAGGCAACAGACTGTTATTCCTAAGATATCAATGTCGAACTGCAGATTGTTTTACTGGCTGAATAAACTACTACCACCAAACATTTCACTCTATTTTCTATTTACTCACCAATCCAGACAGGAAGCTAATGTCCAATAATTATTTCGTTTAAAAATATTCTACAAGGAATGAATTTTCTGGAATACTGAATACTGAGAATTCTGCATAGTATCATATGTTTTCTAGAATAGAGCGACTATAATTATCAATAATATTTATTATTACTGTCACTTTCGTATGCTTTCGTATGTTAGTAGTGGAATACTTTACAACAATTTCAATTCAATGGTTTAGAAAAACTGATCAGTTTTTTTGCACCATACATACTTTTTGTTATTTGCAATCTCTATGAGCTGATATGTCACTCAAATATGTGAGTAATATGAATTATTTTCACACATTACTTTGTACCTCAAACCTAAAAAGTATTTCTTGCAAAAACAACCAATTATACCATTCCATGAAGACTAAACTAGTTAACCTTCGATACGCATATAATTTATTTATGTTACATACAAAGTGGGTGCAACATTAGAACCAAGAAACATGCTACACAACGTAACTAAAAGGTAAAACACAACAAATAAGGAAAGTAGCAGAAGAAGGAGAGTACATAGATAGTTAGTTCATCAAGTTACGTTCAGAGAGAGCTTTCATTACCTTAGTGTTGCGTTCTTCAAATACATGACTAAAAACCTACAATATGATAGCCGCTGGCTTTGATATTGAAGAATATTCGATATCATCTCAATTCCTTCACTCGCATGATCTCTCAAACCTCAGCCATAGGGTTGTGCCACACTAACAAGTGCTACTGTAGCTTAGCTGACTTCTATCCCATGATGGCACTTGAAATATCGCCCGCCTCTTCACTTCTTCCAGCCAGTTTCATGGTAGGGAAATAGTAGGGGGTATAGAGCCCTACGAGACAACATTTATAACATATATTTAGGCCAACCAAGCCTGTGGTATCACCCAGTTAGTGACAATATCATTTATGTCTAAATGCTTGTCAACACACTTCAGAATCATTTACATGATAATTCCATCAAATACATGTAAAGCTGTGGAGAGACGATGGTGGTCGAACAAGTAGAGTCTTTGAATATACCCAACTTGGTATCATCATGGTATTATCTCATATTGCTTGAAAATTACGTTATCTGTAAATATTGAGGTTTAGCCTTCAGCTATGTAGTCAGATCAGAAGGTACGTGTATGAACTGTCTACTTAAATTTAGCTGATATCTCATAATAAGTAAAGCATTTCCAAGTAGCACGAATGAGATTTTAGAATTCACATATCCAATATATCTAACTGCATACTCGTCAGCTATGCACAAGACTGTTACCAAAACATTTGAGGAAATGCAAAGGTCAGGTGCTCACCTCATCACTGCAACGGTCTAACCTAAACTTTACATTTAGAAAAACTTATTGGTTAACCATCAACTGTTTTATACTCAACTGCCAAAAATGCAACAAAGTATAATATTTATCATCTTATTTATGCGTTAACAAGAGGTAGAGTGACTATATTACGCTATGATTACTCTACTTTTTGCTGATAACACATGTAGATGGATATTTATGGCGTTTAACCAGTCAGTACGACTAGTTGTATATCTTAACATGTTTGCATATCATCCCTTCAAAACATTCATACAAGCGTTATCAATTAAGCATGAATTAAATTTTACATATTTTAAGCTCACCTTGTTTACAAATGGTGGGCATCCGTGTTCTGCCCCACCGTAGAATGTGAATCCCCAATGACGTTCACTGTTTGGACGACGTAAAGAAATTGTTAATGATGGTCCACTTTGTTCAGATATCACTTGTGATCCAATGTGAACAATACTTTTTGGTGGACTGATAGGTTCTTCTTTCGGTGAATAGGCTCTACGGATGGGATAATGCATTGCTGAAGAAGAATTATGGTGAGCTGGCTTAGGTTGATTAGATAAAGTAGCCGAACTTTGATATATTGGTCTTATTGGACGAGATCTCGAGTTGGTTACGTATTGAGATGTTGGTTGCATAGGTGTGGATGTTGGGTTTGTTGGCGAATTTGATATGAGTCTTTCTGTGTTATTGATGTGCGAATTATCATAGAAGGCTGTGGCTGAGTGATTATTTGGATAGGTAACGTTAACCTTTGGCTCTTCACTGAATTTCAATGTTTCAATCTGCTCTTGAACAAAGTTCACTGCATCATTTGTTTTGGAATTCATAGCCGGAACTGCATTGTAGATTAGACGACTTTGTGCATCAGAATCTTCTGATGTATGTGTCATACTCTCAGATAAACTTTCTTCAAATGTACACTCAACGCCTTTTGGCTGTTCCTGTGATTCAGCATGTTTGATATCCTCTGTCTCTGGTTCTAATTCATACTGAGTTGAGCTCTCCCTGTCGTCAACTGTTGATATTCTCTCGTTATTTTCATCTTCAGTAACATCTCTTCGTTCTACTTCTTCCACTGTAATTGCTTCTTCTTCATGCTTCATATAATAACCGTCATAGCTATGATCAGATGTTAAATCTGTGGATTCAGGTGATAACGGTCTACTATTCACTGTATGAGCATTTGTTTGTCTAAAAGTTCGTTCTCCACTTTTATCTCGGATAATCTCCTTCATTTTCATTTCTTGGAGAATGTTTTGCATTTTTGCTTGAAAAACTTTTTCATCCCCATTAATATATTTCGGTGGTTCCTTTGAATAGTTATCTCGTTCATATGCTTCTTCTTGTTCTTCTTCGTCGTCCTCCTCCTCCTCATATTCCTCTACTGCATGCTCCATATGAGATGACTGTGAAGATAGTCGATCCTGTTGCATTTGTGAATTTTCCAAAATATAATCCTCAACAGAATCGATTCGATCACCTTCAATAGTTGTTGTGATTGCTGATGTGTTTTCTTCTTCTCTGATGTGCTGTTCTTCTTCTCTATCTTTCAAATCATTCATATTTCCATCTGTTAGACACAGATTAGACTGTAGACTTTGATAAAATTTTTCTGGAAATAAAACTATCTGAAAAAAGGTGTATAACGCCTTAAAAGTTGAAATTTTCAAGGATAGGTGATTTTACAGTTTCAGGTGAACTCTAAACCTGAAATCTGATCACGTACACATTTGACTTTTCCAACTTTGGTTACAGTTAGAACACTGACACATACAATAAATAGCAAACAGGTAAACAGATATGTGCGCGCGTCTGTATACACTGTTTGTAGGTATAGTGATGACGTTTTAAGTAAGTAAAGATTCTCAAACAGCAATGTTACTGTACTTTTTTCTAGTGAAAACAGAAGATATAGAAAATCAGCAACTATTGAAAGTAGTAAGAATAATGAACACCATTCACTAGTCCATGCAAATAAATCACTTGAACTGTGTATGTCCAACTGTGTACAGCCTCTTAATATGCGTATGTCTTGAGTGTTTAACCTTCCTTCTATCACCCTCTCTCTCTCTCTCTCTCTCTCTCCCATCTGTCTTGACTTCTTCATCAATTAGTGGATAAATATATTCTTTTTACCAATAGGAAGTGAAGTTTCAACCAATTATATTTTTAGATTGGGACAGAAATGAAACTGAAATTTGCCAATCACCTGACTGTGACCAGGCACGTTGATCAATACTTTCAAGGTCATAGTGGTTTCCTTGCAAAGTGCTTCTACCAGTATTGCTACCGTCCTACCAATAGATAAGGATAATGCTATTATTTATGAAATGAGAAAAGCTTAGAGTATTAAAGGCATAAGTAGATGAGTGGACTTTAAAAGCCATCCTAATAACCACTCATGTCAGCAATTAGGTTTCTCAATTTCATACGGCTGGGTATATATTTACCAAAATGAACAAACCTTGAGAATCTTTAAACATTAAATTCACAGCGTAGTTGATAAGATTGCTAGCAGTGGGATCCAAGACGCGCATTTCGTCTTATCTGGCACTCGTCAGCTGCACCTTAGTCAGTGATGTTGTCCTCGTTGAAACGTGAACACACTACCCATCACTTCAAACGTCAAAGCGTTATCCATTAGACTAGTGGTATGCATGAGCCACCTATTGTGCAAGGAGGTCAAAAACAGCAACAAAGTTGAAAGAAGTGAGCGTCCTAGATTTCAATACAAGCCACAAAGCAGACAATAACATATTAAATAGTTAGACCGTAATGAGGCCTCCGCGTTGGAGCTTATCCGATAACAAAGGTCAAGTAGTTCTAACTACCACAGCAACTTGGGATCACAAGTATCCAACAATGATTCGGTATTACTTTGTGAAGTGGAACAATAATCAAAGGATCAGAAGAAAGCTTATAAGGATAGTTAGAAACACTACTCTCCTGCAAGTTGTAAATCGCTTTTCTTGTTAAATAAATCCCATAATTATCAAAAATATGAAGTTACATTTTGTAATTTCCTATCTTTCATTAAACTGAATTGATTGGCTATAAGGGTCATATGGGCTACTGCACAAATATCATGATATTCCCCGTAATTTTTGACTGATAGTGGATTCTTTGATGCAGGTTTCTTATTATTTGTCACTAGTCAACTTGGTGCATTATCCGCTTGTTGTGGGACGGATATATTTCAGTGTTATAGCTTGTAATATTCTCTAGCCTGCTAGATAGTGCTCTATCATTTCTTAAAGATGTTGGGTGATGATTTCTAGTTCCAGTGGGAACATCACTCACTGGGTACATCCAGCTGATAACTCCCAAAAAGGATGAAAACACGCATCTTGGATTCCACTGTTGACCTATATGACCATAATTGTGGAAAATATGTTTCACCAATTTACATCTGCCCTTTTCCGATGCATTGTAAACATATACTGAAGTTTAACTAACCAGAGGTAAACCCAATTCATATTGTACCATGGGAGTTTACAAAAATGATAATATCGTTTAAGGTTAGTAAAAGAAAAACACTTTTAGTTGTTCAGCATAGAGGAAGTACAAAAAAGATCAGATAATCGTACTTTAAACAGCAAGAGAACCGATTTCATGACCTGTTTCAGTCAAGACTGTTATTTGAAGATGATTGAATACAGATTAGTGATCATAATTTCCTTTGACCTAATAATCCAGAAGTAGTTTTATCAAGATGTAAAATAATTAGAAAACTACCGGAATATTTTAGCAACTAAATATGTTTTCATCTTAATAAGTTGATGAAGATATTCTTGTGTATTTTCTACTTGATTTGTTGCAAAAAGGGTAATCTGTCTGGTTAGGTGTGCTACAATGGTGGATGCCGGTATCAACAACTGAAAATTGATTTTAGTCTTAGTGCAACACTACCCTAGCATTAATTTTACACTTTTACTATTATCAATACAGTAAAGTGTTAGGCTTGTTTCATGTGGTTTATGCTGATGTTTGTTGAATAGAGTGATTCTCAAGGCCACTCTAACAACTACTGTAACACTAAATAAGGTTTCTGTACCCCCTGTATAAAATGCCCTCTCATTTAAGATTAGCAGACCACAATGGTTACTTCACAGGTTGCCTATATGGCCTTCAAAGTTAGTCATGTGTTCTCAAGTTTATAGGTCACTGACTGGATTGAACACAAGATAAAAAGTTTGTTATTCGATTACTAACAGTCATTTCTTCAGACATACAGTGCAGTGTTCAATGTTCAGTGTTCATAAAATACAGCAATAAACAATCTAGGCTATAAATCCACATCGGTTACAAAATGAAGTGAATAGACGGCAATTAACTAATAATAATTTTACAACGATAAGGCGTTAAACAATAGTTGTCGGGTATTTAGAAAGTTTTTAAACATATTCTCAGAACGATATTAGAAAATAACTTGTGAATAATAAATTGTCTTTTAGAATAGATGTATTAATTGGCTACAGTAAATGTAACTGCATCTTGCACTATTCTTTGTTCGGTCCGTTCGAAAACAACTCACTCAGAATACTAGTCAAGATAAATGCTTATTATTGAAGTCCCATAAATTGTTATCAAATACTAATTCACCACTCAAACAGTATGATTCGACAAAATGACAAGTATAAAGATACAAAATGGAGTTTAAGATGTAAATGAACATCGAAAATCGATAATCAAACCACATTCTTGATATGCGGTCAAAAGTAGTAGGGAATTCATGAATATATGGGAGATTAAAGCAAGAACAAGGCTTGGTAGAGTGTGTTAATCCATTTCAGATTTGTTGATGTGCTGTAGCAAACACAGTGATCGATTATGATTTACTAAGTGACGTTTCGAGGACAAATGTTTCATTAAAAGTAATAAACTGTGCTTGAATCTGTAGTCAGTAGATTATACTATCTCACTCTATACCTTGGCTAAAAAAGAAACACCAATGGGATTTCAGTGAAACAATCTGAAGTAACCATAGTTTGACAGAAGTGTCATCAGTTCTAGGGGGCTACCTGAATTCAGATGTGAAAATCTTGTTTATAGAAGGCTTCAGAACACCGGTCTCGGAGTTATCAGTTACACAGTCAACCGACTGAGCTTCACAAGTTTAACGTTAACCATCACAAGTTGATTCGTCTTTTCTAAACCTATGGAATGCTTTAACGCTGGAAGATAAAACTATACGATCAGCAATCAATAGTTCTTTAGACATAGATCCAATGAATCAACCAATAAGGAAAAGGATAAATTTACTTTGAAGGTTTATGGAGAACTATTTATTGATTTCAGGCTGGTATTCATCATGAAGCGGCATTCATTGGACAAACATTTCAAACTTGGGAGCACTGGAAAGCTGTTTCATTATAATACAGGACGACGTCAGGACTGCACACTGATGACCCCGCCGAAAATGGAACCCAAGTCATTCAGGTTACAAAGCCATCACATCACCAATGTGTCATCGGCTTGGGATCCAGATGTTCAAATTTTCCTATTTCTATCAATTTGACAAATAGCACGACCATCATCCAATACCATCCCTGAGTATGTCCTGACGACGGACCTGGTTTACCCTACCGGTCATAGCTTCTCATAATAATAATAATAGTAGTAAGTATTTTATTCTCATATTAGTAATTTAACACGAGAGAAGCCAGTTTACAGGCATCATCACTTTGATATAAGTGAAAAATCTACAAGATTTTACGGGACCTGAATGGCACAGAAGGGACGTCATTAAATTCGATTAAAAACATCAGAAGGTTCCACAAGTTATGAAATGAACGAGAAAATACCACTTTCCTGCATATACAAAGTGATAAAGTTTAGATCATTTTCAGTCATACCTTTTTAAACTATTGGTGGCACCCGGGTCGCGCGAAATTCCAAATTTCCTTTACAAGCAGTCGGCATGTTTGACTCATCTTCTCAATGCCCCGTTACGCTAGAAAAATGTCTATTCTACCATACATTCTTATGCTTATAAGCTTCGGAGACCGAAAGAACCCACACTGATGATTTCGGGAATCTGTGAGTTTCCACATAACTATGTAATCCAACTGGATATCTATTCAAGTGTTACCGTTCATAACAATGTAGATTTCCCCCATCAGAATTAAATATTGTGGTGCAAAGAAAAAAACATTTGAAGAACTGCAGACCAATGGCATTGGGTTTTCCAAACTGTTATCGTTAACGTATGCAGCAATGTCAAGGAGGTATATTCACTGTTAGATGAAGTGCTAGAAAAGTTTGTTGCACAGTATTGTTGCGAATGTGTTCACTTTAAAGTTAATAGGTGAGATGATCTCTTCGGGTTTACTGTTTGTACGGATTTTCGTTGCCATTATGACCGTCCAGAAATTTGAGTAATTTGAGGAGTGATAAATGTTCACATGGTAAGAGAATTCCTAATGAGTGAATAGGATTGGTAATTCTTACTTATTGGACAGTAATTTTCGTGGAAGCACAGTTTCACTGCTTCGCAAAACAATGGAATGTTAAAAATTAATAACATATATTCCTCATTTATATCATGTTGTCATCAATAAAAGTTATCTTGATGATGTGGATCTTCGTGGTTTCGAGTTAAATCCTTTGTTCGTTTAGCGTTCAGATTTTTAAATAATTCGGTACGTTTTCATCATAGTTCAGTTTCATCATAATCTAATGATATCTTCATGTTACAACTATCTGAAGTTTGGTAGAAAAAAAACAAAAGCAGGTGTAGCCGCTGCACTTTTGTGGTTAGAAATAAGAACTTCAAGTTCAGAGATCAGGTAGAAAAACTGCCAGTTCGTCAGGGAATGCTACTGGATCACTGATACAGATAGCCCACTTTACATTGAAGACAGCGCGATGAATTTTGTTTAGAAAGACAATAAAAGGTTCACAATAAAACTATCAAGCTGAGAGGATGCAACACAACCAAAGCTAAGTTCATTCTGGTATGTAGTCAGAATCCTTATGAGACAGGTGATCTT